TGCTTCGACTCTCAAGGCACCCCGGGAATAGCAGTTCACAAGAGAGTGACAAACATACAAAAGAAGTAGAATAAAAATGACGATAGGATGAGGAAAGAAAAGGCAGCACACACCCCCCCCCCTGTTGTTCCAGCACAGTAAGAGCATGACATTACAGAAAAATGCCTATGCAGAGCTAGACTTACACAAAATCGAAATGTGCCATAACAAGAGGCTTATTCCTACAACGTCAACCAGCCACACTTCACGGGGTAAAGACAAAAACCCAAAGGGATAGAAAGGTCACAAAAAGGCAAATATGCACACCTACCTATCTGTCTAATATCTTTTAGACCTACATGATTTTTTCTCAGAAACAGATCAACATAATATGATAATCACGGCAAGGAACAACCTGGTAAGGTCGATACAATACACTGTTGTTTTGGGGCATTTTTATGAATCTTTTACGTCCTCATTGACACAAGTTAGATCACATTTAGTTTAGGGGGGAGAGGGGGGGGGCTTCGACCCTGCCCTGTCATGGTCAACCCAGGCTAAGAGGAGTACAACGTCCCAGCACAAAGACCGGGAGAAGGACTACACCGAGGATACCTTGCAACATAACCTCCTTGACTACACCATAAGAATTCTCCCCAAATGGAAATCGAACTCGGTTCTTCTGCGTGTAACAGCGAAGCACCTGACAGCTGCATCACAGACGCCAGGCATTACTATGTGTAACAAGATGAAAACTCTGGTCCTTCTCTCAAGCCATATATTTTATAAGCAAAACAAAGTACACAGTGTATTCGACATCTCTAAATTAGCAAATAATAGGAAAACAAAATCTCATGCAACGGCTGGAGTTTTTGAGTAAACAGAAGCAAATCGACAAAATAATGGTCATTTTGTGGACAGACAGACAGAACAGACAGAAACAACAGAGAAAAAGCAAAGAAGTAGGAATTACCAGTGGCACCCTCCAACCACCCGCCCAGACAACAGCATAAAATGATATCTCGGCGACTGGAGAGAAATTGGAATTGCCTAATAGACATGATCGCATTACTGAATTCAATCTCCTCACAGCAAGCAGTGAGGGCTACAACACGCAGCCGATTCTTTTCCCTGCACTGCACATTTCCATTTCGACAGTCTGTCTCGAAGTGTGAATCAGAACATTCCTTATCCCCCACCCCAAGTAAAGAGTTTTACGGCACTTGCCACACAATAAGGTCATATATTATAAGTGCCGAAGATTGGAGGTGTTACAAGAGAGTAACAAATGCACAAAAAAAGCCTGCAAGTATGATCTTACTACGACCATGATACACAGTAGCAGCTTTCTATTAAAAACTGCCCAACTGCCGGATTTAGGGCGGGAAAGGGGGGGGGGGCAATGGGAGTATCTCGAAAAATGCAGTATGATAAATTATTACTTGTTTGGGTATCACAACTACACACTAACGGCTATTTAGTACAGAGGTTAAGTTTAAACTGACAAAAACAAAAGAGGAATAGATTTTAAAAAATAGGACTTACCAGAGACACCCTTCATTCATCCACAGGAGGAATTATCTCCAAATGACAGACAGACAGACAGACAGACAGACAGACAGACAGACAGACAGACAGACAGACAGACAGACAGACAGATAGACAGACAGACAGACAGGACAGATATAGACATTACCAATAGCGAAAAATCTGGCTCAAATGGAGATGGGCAGGAAAATGAGAAAGTAATCTATAATACAAAACCAACTTGCAGCTGACCAACATTTTTTTAAAATGCAGAAATGCATGGTCTCCGAGAGCAAAACAACCAGGAATCGTTGCACTGGATGTCAGCCAGACAAAGGTTCGTGTCTTCGATTTTCTAGGTGTATCAAAAGAAAGCAGCAAAATAACGATATAATATTACCGCAGGCCGATGTAATATCAAAGCAGCTGGGCGAGGAGTGGCGAAGGTTTGGGGACATCGAGTTGTCGTTGCTAGCAAAAAAAAAGGAGGGGGGGTGGTGTGTTTCATTTAAATTTGATGTAGCTGGCACGGACAATAGTGTCTGTCTGTCTGTCTGTCTGTCTGTCTGTCTGTCTGTCTGTCTGTCTGTCTGTCTGTCTGTCTGTATTAATGTGTGAGTGCGCGAGACAGACAGACACAGAGAGAGAGAGAGAGAGAGAGAGAGAGAGAGAGAGAGAGAGAGAGAGAAAGTGAGAGAGAGAGAAAATGAGAGAGAGAGTGTGTATGTGTGTGTGCGTGTGTGTCTGTGTGTGTGTGTGTGTGTGCGCGCGCGCGTGCGTGTGTGTCGGAAGGGGGGGGGGTAAGTTCTTTATTGGATTTAGTGGAATTTCTCAGAGTTTTGGGCCAATGAGCACGGCACGGACTCTGCCCGTATCTCAAACATAATCTCGTCTTTGTCATCTTGACTTTCGTGTTGTTTACATCAGTCTGGCGTATGGTAACCCTAGTCGTCCAAGGACATGTTTGGTTTTGTAAGACACATACATAAAATAGTTACTTATCATTGACCCCCGTGGGGAAATTTGGGTTACAATACGGTAAACATACATGATACAGGTACATAAATACATTGTACATCATTAGAAATACATCATGTACACACATAAATATATAAAAAATACACAATATTACAACAATAGAGCACAATTTCACAAACAAGCCACTGCTGATCGCCACTGTACAGCGCCCTGGTTTGCGTTATTTATTTTTTTAAATTTTTTTTATAGAGTTGTGTGGTGTCTTGTTCAAGGATAAACCCAAGTGACCACGACACCGACACTTGCTTGACATTACTTTTGAATCTGAACTCACTACTCACTCAGTCACTGGAGCCTCCAAACAATGACACTCTATG